ATCTTTTCAACATCTTAAGAAAAAACAACATGGAAAAAAGCTCTTTTAACCCTTATTTTCACTTGCTGAATTCACTTCTCAGTTCCAAATTTTGCATCTTATTTTCAGCTTGAAGGGAGATATTCTTAAGACACATATATTTATGGTTTTCAGATAGGCTTTTTTTAAAGGAAAATAGTGGGACTTTGTAACATTCTTTGGAATGTCAGCTCTTCTCTGTTCTACTAGGCATTAAAAGCTTTCACGTCTAGGCCTATGGACTGCTCCTGCATCAAAGAACAGGAGGATTCCAGCTGTATTTTTTCTCCTCTCCAACAACATATGATACAGATAAGAAGAAATACTTAGTACAAAAGACACTTATTCCTTTTGATTTCATATAAAAGCTTTATAGGGTTTCATCACACAAAGAATGGAACTCTATAGATGTGACTGCATAGACTGCACTGCAACCGAACAGCACACAGTTGCAGAAATCACTTTGCTAACTTCATAAAGATCTGAATAATGACTTTGCTTATCACTTCAGATGAGTTAAATTGTGTGCAATTACATGCATGTCATCCCCAAACTGCTCAGAGTTTTTCCTGAACAAACTGCACAAGCATTGTCCTCAAAGATAACTAGATATGAGATTTAATCACTCCAGATGGTGCTTTGTGTCACCTTTAATTCCAGCAAGCTTCTCATCTCTCTTGCCACAGTGAAGAACATGTATCATTGACCACTCCCGTGGGGAATTTCCTAGTATGTCAAGTAAGAGTTTCATGGAATGAACTACACTTCACCTTTGCCTGCAGTTGTTTACTATGAGGGAAGTACCACTGAGCTGTGTAACCTTTTGTGTCTGAGATTTCCCTTTGTTGTGAGTATTCATTACCTGTTCTCTTTACAAGTTAAGGCTTGCTTCTACTGGCAGCGGAAGAACTCCAACTGGCCATCTAACACTCCATAGCAAGAACTATAATGATCATAAAATTCTCTGGATACTCTGGTTCACCACAGCAGAGAAGCTGGCACTCTGTAGGACTGAAGAAACTGGAAAACTTTGATGGGTGAACACTTTTTGAATCCCTTTGCCATTAAAAAAATAGCACTTTTAGCTGAGATTTAACTTACCTTTGACTGCTTTAAGGTGTAGGCACATCTAAGGAGTGAAGACATTCCATGCAATACCAGTTTACTTCTGGATTTCTGTATATAAATCTGCCTTTTACCAAATGTATTGAATGTGTACCAGTGATTGTGGCTGAAACTATTAAATAAGATTTCTAAGTTTCTAATATGAGCTCCATATTCAGTACTGCTGCCAGCTTGCTTTGAACATGTGTCACTTCAAAGCAGGTGATGCAAACCAGTTTAAAGATTGGGTTGTTATGCTGCTCCAATGTTTGACAGAGTCAAAGTTTCATCCTCCTGTATATTGAAATCACTCCTTTGTAAGACTAAGAATTGATGAAAGACAGCTTCCCATGGAAATGCTGTAGAGGTTCCTAGTATTCCTCTGTGAACTGCATACCACAGTAAATGGGGGCCTCAGCAATTGCATTTTCTCTTTCAGCCTCGGTTGCCAACAGACAAACACTGTAGACCCTTCCGAGGGAGAAGAAATTCAGCAGTTGTGCGCAAGGGGCCAGGAGGTTCCATTGGACACATGTCCTCTGTGGGAGCCAATTTCACCAAGACTTTTCACCACGCCTGTGTTTTAAACACAGTTTGTGTGTTTCTCTTTGTGGGGTTTTCTATTTATTTTATTTTTCCTTTTAAATGACTGTACCTGGGCAGCATCTGGGCTACTCTTCTTATGCTATTCATGCACTGCTTTGTTGCCGCTGGCCTACATTTCTTCTACTATGCTTTAGTAAACATTAAATACTTTCCCAGAAGGCTGAGTACATACACATTTGATTTGCTATTTGATACCCAATACAAGAATCAAGGGGAACAGACTGCTGACTGTAGCTTATGTACCACTTTCTGTCAGCAGGAGTTGATGGACAACTTAATGAAAGCATTCAAATTTTCAAAGTCAGTGTGAAGTTTGACTGAGTAATGAAACTGTCTACAAATCAGTTTGGGCACATTAACAGAATCCAGAAAAGATGGGAACTGACAAAAGAACTTGATGTTCCTCCAGTAGTTTTCCATTTGCATCATTACGATGCAAAGCCAAAGGCAACACAGTTGGACTGTGAGTGGAAAGATAACTTATATGGACCCTGTATCATAATTCATAGATGAGTTGATCCCTAACCCTCATGCAGCCCAGTCGCCCATGAGAACAGGGTGAGGATCTCTGCCTCTCCAAGTTGAGCTGCTCTCCCCAACCGCATCTTTTAGTTAAATCCTGCTGCTTGACCCATCACTCTGGGACTAGCAGCATCTCTTCCTTTCACCCCCGACTGCAGTTGATATTTCCACGCCTTCTTTACGTCCAGCTCCCTCCTTACCCTCTGGGGTGCTTGTCTGCATCTACCGAGACAGGGCTACTCAGCCTGTGTGGGTTGTGCTGACCTTTCCCAGAACTATTCAGGCTGCCTGCTCCATGTTACCCAGGATTTCCAAAGGCATTTGTTTGACTCCTGCACCTCCCTTGCAGCACGCGTGGTGCAGCCTGTGCTGCCCCT